AACTCCTGCTAGGTGAGATTTACTTTATTTTTGATTTTTAGAATTTTTATTTTATATTTCAAGGCCGAGGCAGCTAAGTCCGGACAGCAAAGCGGCACGAGAAGCTTTGACTGATTTTTTGGTGACCAGCCTACCGACGGCAATCTTGCAAGAGGTCACTAGACAGGTCAAGTATGCTGTGATGAAGATTCATGAGGTAAGGGTGGAGGATAAGGAATATGAATTTTCGTCATACCATTTACATTTTTTTACTATTTTTGCTTCTACAGCCTGATTACCGTTTTTCTAGCTTCGGGTCAGTCCGGACGAGATGTCAGAGCTGGTGCAGGGCTTTTACCAATATCTAATTGATAAACTCAATCAGAACCCATTTTTCAACCAAGAAAGTAGGTTTTATCTCTTTTATTTCTTCCCTTACATTTGCTGTTGAATTCTCACGATTCTTTTGTTTTAATGGTGATTTTTATTTCTTCTATCGTTATTCCGTAGAGGTGGTTATTCGTTACTTTTCCAGAATGCAATGTGAAGGTGGAGGATGTTCTCGCCGAAGTTGAGAAGTATATCTGTACATGTTGCTATAATAATTTGTTCTGTGCTAGGTCAGCAGATTTGTAACCATTTTTTTTTCTCGAAGTGATTTTGATTTTTTATAGTTCTGATGAAGAAGTCGCAGATCTCTCGTTACAAGATCGTATCCGGTCTCTGAATTGGGTCACTGCAGGATTTTTGGAAACCAAAATCAATTTTGCTAGACCAGCAGTGAGTTTCTTGAGAGGTTTTTTCGTTCATAAATGAGCTACATATCTCTTTCTTGATTTGCTTCTTTTGTGATTTTGTAATGCTTGAATTTTCTATCGCTATTTGGTATTTTAGGTTCGAAATCTTCTTGACGATGCCATAGCAGAAATGATCGATATAAATAGCCATAGAAGAAATGATGAAAAGTTGGAATGTCTCGTCCGATGTTCACACAAAATATTTGAGGCGTTGAAAGAAAGTGGTGAGGAAATGATAGATAGTTATTTTTTATTGTGATTCACTTGTTTTTTTTTCATTAT